GCCCAACAATATTATGTATCTTTCACATTTTTGTACATTTCAAGTTTCTTGTCGTTCATATCTAAGATGCTGCCCAAATTTTTCTAGATGAACGTTTCGTCAAATTTACTGGTCTTTTTATCTTTTTAGAGAAACTTAATTCCACATCTGGTAATCCAGCCTATACTCACAAACACCTTTCAAAGGATGTTGCACATCTGACAAGAAACCAAAATTTTTATTTTAATTTTATTTTTATTTTTTTTTACGATTTTACGACCTTTGATTTCAAAACAACACAAGCGAATTGGTAAAACACGTGTATCGACACTATAATCACTGATAATATTGTACATGTATGTCATCTTATTCTCTAAATCTGCAGATATTTAAACAGCACTTTGGTAAAGAGATGCTCGTTTAAAAAATGACAGCTTGACTTTTACATATCAGTACTATGAAATGTAAAGATAATGAAAAAAGTCCAAATACAGCATACAAATTTTGAGCAGAGCAAATTTGGACCTCTATTGTCATGATAGGGTAAACGGAAATATCTGTAGACAATTCAGTGTGAAAATAATTGCCTAACAGTTTCTATGAAAGACGTTGGTCAACATTGACCTAACAACAGATTGTATTTGCAAACAAGGTCATTAATTGTATTGCAATTGACCACAGAATTTGCGAAATGTTGACATTAAACGAGACTGTTGATATCTTTGTATCAACTTTTCAACTTATTTGTCTTCATAAAGAATATGACTTAAGCTTGAGATGTTTTACGATTCCCGATCCAGGTCTCCCAATGAACTATTGGAAGTTATTTTCATTTATGTGTCGATTCTTTTTGATAATTCCTAGTGAACTGGAAATTTTAAAAAAACACAACGGAAACTGTCACAAATGTTTCAAACATGTATTTGGATGTTTTATTCACTATGGACATTAATTGCCACTTAAACTAACTTTATCATAACTTCAAAAATTGATTCCTATATAAATCTATACTAAAAAGTCTAACATCTCCAATGTTTCACTGAGCGGTCATAAAAAAATTGATGAATGAGATATTGGACCTGTCGATGAGATATTAGACCGCTTACGTCACACTGTGGGCGGGATCAGCTAAATCTTATTGCATTCGTGACAGAATTGACAGGTCTCTCAACAGATTCGGTTCGCAAAAACACTGTTTGTTAGAGGGCTTTCAATAATCTCGTTTGAGGCCATTATTTAGCACATTTTATGATCGTTAAAATGACCTTCATTGTTTGCAAATTGCAACCTGACTGACATGTTTCACGCCAATTAGTACACCATTGTTTTTATATTTAGTTTAAAACGGATTACTCCGTTTACCTGATCCGGGGCTCACAGCGGGGGTGTCAATAGATGCTTATTTCTCCTTAGCGCCTGATCCCCTCTGGTGTTTCCAGGGGTCCTTGTTTCTGAACTGTTCACGATTCGCATTGTTAACAGATTTACCAAATTGATCAGTGTTCGTTATCTTCACTTTTAACTGTATGAGATATTTGCCATGCATTTCAGTATATATTTATTGTATTTTACTCTAGCATTTTCAGGTCATCTAATTTACTCAGTTAACTACCAATTGCTCTCTGTTCCTCTCTGTCGTCGTCTATTCTTGTAAACTTACGAATTTTAACTGATTTTGTATATAGCACCCTTTGATTAAAAAGAACATGAAATTCATGTTCAACGGGTAATAAGTCCAAAATTAGTGTAACCTTCATACATGTATATCTTCCGTTCTCTTAGATATGCTGCAGTTTATCATAATAAGCAGAGAGCCCTTTACTAGAACTATGCCAAAAACCCCTGGATTCAGGGCTCTATAATATATTTTAACACAGGTATAATGTGTATTTTTCTCTTCTGAAAGTTCTTTAAAACCGTTACAAAGCTGTAGAAGATGCTGCTATATGACTGTTACAGCTGTCCCAGAGCAGACCCAGAAAGTAGTCCCAGGGACTGCTATAAGACTGTTACAGCTGTCCCAGAGCAGACCGAGAAAGTAGTCCCAGGGACTACTGTTAGACTGTTACAGGTGTCCCCAGAGCAGACCAAGAAAGTAGTCCCAGGGACTGCTATAAGACTGTTACAGCTGTCCCAGAGCAAACCCAGAAAATATTCCCAGGGACTACTGTTAGACTGTTACAGGTGTCCCAGAGCAAACCCAGAAAATAGTCCCAGGGACTGCTATAAGACTGTTACAGCTGTCCCAGAGCAGACCGAGAAAGTAGTCCCAGGGACTACTGTTAGACTGTTACAGGTGTCCCCAGAGCAGACCAAGAAAGTAGTCCCAGGGACTGCTATAAGACTGTTACAGCTGTCCCAGAGCAAACCCAGAAAATATTCCCAGGGACTACTGTTAGACTGTTACAGGTGTCCCAGAGCAAACCCAGAAAGTAGTCCCACCCACTGCTGTAAGACTGTTACAGTTATCCCAGAGCAGATCTAGACACAGAAAGAAATAACAGAAAATACTCGGATACTGCTACGGCCAACCCAGAGCAGACAGATAAAAAAGCAGAAGCGCCTGCCCTAAGACTACTCTCTGCCATAAGTAGGAGCGCCTGCCCTGAGACTGCTCTCTGCCATATAGTGTCTGTTGGTATTGTAGGTCAAGTTTGTCATACATTGTAAATCTATCGAACTTCTTAAAATCTTCTGTTCTGGATTTCTAGGAAAGAAATTGATATCAAAGCAATCTTAAAAATCGAAATAAAAGTTTCCGGGTTTTTTTGGCTCATGTTCCAAGTGGTGCTAGTTTATGCATAAATGGAAAATTCATTATACATTTGGAGATCCACACTTCTGGCAATCTGTTAAGGGTGCAACGATAAACCGTTTGACGGTTCGTCGCGGTATATTTTTCCACGGTTCAATTCACGATACGCTAAACTGATATCGCGGTTCGGTTCAATCGGTCCAGAATTATCCAATCGTCCGTTTTGTGTTTCCTTTTTTGCAATTTCAAAATGGCTTCCGCGCAAAACGTGAGGTCGCCGATAACGATTAACGAAAGTTAAACTCATCTCCAGCATCTTACAGACCTCAGATTTAACACGGAGAAGGACTTAATGTGATTATAAGTTATAGATGTAAAGACAAATGATAAACCCTTTAGATCTAAGCGTATATATTCTTTGGTAATACACAATATTAAATCACGTGTTTATTCCGATGAAAATTCACTGTCTTGTTGACTAAAACGTGTTAAGACTTTTTAACCTTGTCATGTATCGTGATAAGTATCGTATCGTGAACTGAATACCGTGATACGTATCATATCGTGAGGTTAGTGTATCGTTGCACCCCTACTGAATTTGTTTGAAGTGATATTGGCTCAGGATAAAAGGATTGGTTTAAGTTGGTATTAATGTATCTCTATTTTCTACTCCATATATTCTAGGAAACAAATTTCTTGCATATGATTATAAACAGAGATTCCATTATCAAATTCATGCCATTCCAAAGAGGAACGGAATTTGTAGTTTACTCAGGTGACTCTTAAGGCCTTTTGCATTGGTCTGTTAAATTCTGTATCCACATATTTAATGACGTATACACCTGATTTATTCTTTTTCTACCACTGACAAACTCCTGAACGAGACTGCAGGTGGATCCTACATGGACAACTGCATGTGTTTAGCTAGTCCCTTTTATATCATATGACCTTTTAAGGAGGCTAATCACACCAACAATTTATTTAAAGGATCTTTAAAATATCTTTCGAAATATAAAAAACATACATGTATATGATATTGATACTATTGAAATTGATCAAACATATATTATATTGTAATATTTTTTAATCAATAGATAAAATCGTCAAGAAAATTGTCACTTGTAGAATAGAGGTATTAGAAAATTATCTTTTAAATAAGAAATTGAAATGAAAGTGCAAAAGGATGACTGCACTTAAGAACATGCGGAATTTGCGACAAAATAAACTTCAAAACAAGCATTTTTCTTTTTATTGCAAGAATGGTCAACATCCAATCTACAACTTTAAGTAATTACGTTTAATAAAAGTGTGTATTTACGAAGTTCGAATCTGTTTTCAAAGGCAGGGGTCATCACAATTTCTTGAATCTCCGTTCGATAATGAGGGCGTCCACTTTTTTACTGACTTTATACATAGTCAGCGCATGTTTGTCTATTGTTCTACGTTTAACAGTAGTTGTATATTTGCATGAATAATAATGTGTCAAAAGGACATTAATAGACATACATGCGCTCATGGTTAAAAAGAGAAAAAACTGCTTCTTCTTACATTCGCTCTCTGTGTTGTAACCAAGGATTGTGACATGTTGAATATTATAATTCACCGCGTGATTTCTTACCTCAGGTTATTTTGTGAATACTAAATTCCGTCACGTGACTTGTAAGGGAGCATGTTTTGTAATAACTAGAACATTGTGTTCGAACACGTTAAGTCATCTGGCATTTATATAAAATCTGCTTTAATTACATTGACGTGCTCATATTTTTAATTTCGCTTTGAAACCTTTGTTAGAAGTGTATTTGTGCCATACAGAATGGAGAGAGAGATTGGAAAGAGTGATCTCGTTCGCTTTTCCAAACATGTCATTGTTATTTATCAAGTCTAATTTTAGAGCCATTCTTACAATGTTAGCTCCATCTCTCATGCATATCTAATGTTCAATCAAGGGCAGGTAAGTGTAAATTCACTATATTTGGAAAGCAGTAAGGACAAAAAACATTGAATCATTTTATTGTATCACAGTCTAAAATCATTTTAAGATTTAAATGTGGTTCCAAATTGACAGTATTCTTTCATAAACATACAAAAGTGAGATAAGGTTTAGATTTTAAAGCAACAGAAGCAACCGAAAAAGACCCAAAACAGGCGTTAAGTGCAGTCGTCCTTTAAGTACAAAATACAGCACATAATTTGTAACTTTTATACAGCGCATATATCATTGGGACATATTTACAGAGGTGTAAGGTGAAGATATGGACCGTTTTCTGAGTTTTGGGTTAATCATTCTTATGAGTCCTGTGGTGTTTTGTACCATTTGTCCAGCGCTTCAGCAACCAGATATTCGGATTTTAGACATCAGACTGAAACCCCAGTCCGTCCCTAAACAACTAACTACATATGCATGTCAACAATTTCAGGTATTGGTCTTTAAAAAAAGCCAAATATTATCATTATGCTTTTCATAAATTCAAGTATTGTATGTATGTATATATATATATATATATATATATATATATATATATATATATATATATATATATATATATATATATATATATATATATATATATGGGATATGATTACAATGCATTATTTAGATAATGATTTTTTTTTACTGAGCATAGCTCGTCTAACGACCGAAGTATACTAGAAATGTCAGACAAATGTGATATATTTGCATCTTTTAAATCTTCAAGGTCCTGGAAACAGAGACCTTCCAAGCCGTGGCATTTGAACCTCTTGTAGGAAACAAAGATGTTGTTCATCACATGCTTCTTTTTGGATGTGAACGTAGTATAGGTACATTTGTAGGTACCCCCTTTTCTGTTTTTTTAATATAAACTCTTAATTCATTTATTCAAATTTCTGCCACATTATTTCGCATTATTGTTGATCAGGTATTATATGTAGGCCATTCATCAATGCGGTGATGTAGATGCTTCGTGTAGGGCTTGGCTTACACAGTATTCTTTGGGTGTACGAGGTCCTATCTGTCTGCCAAAAGATGTCGGGGCTACGTTTGGGAAAAACTCTTTTACAAAGATGCTTTTGCAAGTCCACTGGAATAATAAAAATATTTCGGATAACATAACAGGTGAACACTTGAAAAACAAGAATTTCCTACTTTACTGAATCATTTATTTAATGGTATTTTTTATGCCGAAGCAATTTTTCAGTCAAAATGAACACCTTTCTTTTCAAGATGACAGTGGATTCCGAATTTATTACACGACTCACCTACGGAAACACGATCTCGGAAATATCCAAATTGGTCAGAATGAAATTTCGATACCACCATTATCAGAAACCATCGTCAGAGGGAGCTGTAGTCACCAGTGTACCCGAATATTTCCACATCCGATTTATCTCACAAGAACATATATCCATATGCATTATCTAGGTCTCTGAATTTTCCCTAGCATGTGTGTTTTTAACGCCATTAAGGACCTTCTATACATTAATGAAAATGATTTTTGGACATTAAAAAATGAAACCATGAAAAAGTGAAAATATTGATTTCATATTTTTTTCATTTCCAAAATAAGATACCAGCAATTTAGCCAAAGAAAAAAATGATCAAAGACAACAAAGTACAGATGAACAGAAGTAACTGTTGTATGCTTAAATGAGAAAAATACATGCAAAGAAAGTGTTAAATCAATTTATCGTTAGTTAATAAATTAGTAAAAAGACTTGAATTGATTACAGATTTTGTATTACTGTGAAGATTTCAATTTAATTTATTTAAGATCGAAGGGCAGATCATTCTAATTGCATGAAAATATCATGAAATTAGAACTGTTTAGAGGATCCTTAAATTTGCTACTCTACTTGTTTGTTGTAGGAATAAAAGGGAGACTTGAGATATACAGAAACGGTAGTTTTCATACTCTTATTGCAAAAGATGAAGAATACATCTATGATAAATCTCCGATCCATGATCATCATGCGCCCATAGAAGTTCTACCTAGTGAGTGTCAGTCATGTTAGAATATTTACAGAATTTTAGTTGAATCAGTATTCAATGTGTCCTTTTGCACACAAAGAGAGATAACTCAGACTTTACCCTTGAAACGTATAATGATTTCCAAATGTTGTAAGTAATGCTTGAAGTTGATAAATACAAATTTTATCTACATATGAAACTTAGTCAATTTTAATCGAATATTTAACACAGTTTCTGTCATTTCTGTCAGTATTATTTCTAAACATATTTCTTATCATGAGCTACATGAAAACCAGTCCATGTTTGAATTATCTGTTACAAAGGATTTAGTATTCAGCATTTTTAAAACCCACAAAACAAATTATATATAATGGGATTTAAATTTGTTTTGTTTAAATCATCAAATAATCTTTGAGGTGATGAAATAAAGTTAACATGCACTTTCAACACGCGTGATGGACACAGAAAAAAGGAAGAAACGGTTCATTTTGGAGAAGGATCAGAGGTAGGGTTTTATGAAATACATGTGTAGATGACGGTTATCAGCACATTTCTATTTTTGAACCATTTAAAGAATTGTTGCAATAAAAACTGAGTACCATATTTTCGTTTAATTAATGTAAAGCTAGGCTTAAAATTTTGAAAACTGCATGCTAGTGCTAGTGATCGTTGTATATCGTTGACTGTTTCAAGTGAAAACACATTAAAATTGTTTAATTGTTTTTCCAGGCAGAAATGTGTTATGCATTCATATCCTATTTTCCGAGGATCCATGGATTTGACCAGTGTATTCAAATGGGCGATCAGAATATAAACTGCTGAATTAAAGATATTTTGAAATACTGATTTCATTTTTATTTATCTTGATCACTTACCCCATCAATATACATAGCACTATATTTTCTATGTGGTGACTTCACACGATGTAGAATTCCAATTCAGAGTGTCTCTTAAAGTCCTTGTTGATTTTGCTGCAAAATTATAGAAATAACAATATTATTTCTTCTCTAGATAAAAGTTAATCGAAATAATGATTGACCGAATTCTGCTACACACAAAAGTAAATCCTTTGCAAGACGGAAATGGAATCTACATTTTGGTTTAATTATTTATTTTTCGATCTATATTTATATTTCGATATATGGTGTTGTGACATTGGTACATTATATGTTTTCTGACTTTGATAAATTCTCATGACATCAATCGATCACTTTTTTAGCTTAAGCTTGTCAGAATTTTTTCAGTATATTCTTTTTTGCATAATAAATAGAGCATGAGGATTCCATCTGAAATGACAGATTTCATTTTAAAATAGCTTTGGACCCAGTGGTAATAGACTAATTTAATAAGTGAGGATTGTCCTACCAGTATACTTTGAAATCGTTATATTTTGAGGGATATAATATTTGTGGAAACTTTGGGTTTCCCTCACCCACAAATGTATTGCCCTGTCCACACGGAGAGTTTAATTCGAATTAAGCGTAAGTTACTGCGAATTAAACGTAAGTTACTGCGAATTTAATTTGAACCGCGTTCACATGGAGAATTTGAGGAGGTTCGAACCTAGGCTTTAGAGCAGATTTTTGTCTGGACCTGTATTTCTCCAATTCTCCATCATATTTTTGTTCTTAAAATAAATATACTGGATTCTACAATGTCTTTCAAACTACAATGTATATTCAATTGAATTCCATACACTTTTTTTCTCTCTTCCAAAGTATTTACAATACGTTTAAGTTTGGATTCCCATTTTTCCATGCACGCTGCACACAAAGTTATTTTGCGAAGTGGAATATTTTATGCTGGTTTATACATTTAATTAAACATTATGAATTGTATCATCACATTATGACAAATATAGCATATACATTGTGAAAGTCCAAAAAAAACCCACCTATTTTAGCTTAAAAATGACACGTTTTTTGTAATATCTAAAATTTACATAATACATCCCCACCTTTTACTTTTTTGAATATATATAATAATTTTGACCATTCTGCTTAGATTCAGTAAAAGCTTTATACTTTAAAAAAATTTTATTGCTTGTTAAATTTTTAATGCCAGAAAAATGACATTTTGTGGATGCTGAAAGTTCAAATAATTGATTTTGCTAAGTAATTTGAAATTTTTCTTTTTTACAATTTTCAATGTGTCTATTCAAGATTAAAAAAAGACAGTATTTGGTTTCATTACTTATTTGAGTAAAAATATTGGAGAGAAAAAAAAATCGAAAAAGTATGAGGCGCCGTTTTGGTATTTACTGCCAAAAAGTGATATCACCTATTCGAATAAGTGATATCACCTATTCGAATAGGTGATATCACCTATTCGAATAGGTGATATCACTCATTCAAATTGAATAGGTGATATCACCTATTCGAATAGGTGATATCACCTATTCGAATAGGTGATATCACTTATTCGAATAGGTGATATCACTTATTCGAATGGGTGATATCACCTATTCGAAATGAATTGGTGATATCACCTATTCGAATAGGTGATATCACCTATTCGTGCTGAATAGGTGATATCACCTATTCGAATAAGTGATATCACCTATTCGAATAAGTGATATCCTATTCAATTTGAATGAGTGATATCACCTATTCGAATAGGTGATATCATCTATTCGCATTTCTTACAACAACAAATAATGAATGCTCCCTTCCTCAAGATTATCTAGATTTTCATTGGAACCAAGCAAATTCGGGCTGCGTTAGGGTCTGTAAGTCTCGTCACGTGACTCGCGAGATTTTTCGATAATATTAACTTCCAGGTACCTCACACATGGAGATGTGTATTGGGTCATGCATGTTTATGGTTTACACAAAGCGTATAAGGAAAGTTTAAGCAGTTGTACAAAGCCGGAGGGTTCTCCGACTTACGATGGATAAATTGAGGGTCGTAAAAGCTTGGGTGCGAGCAAGTAGGAGGAGAATTTCGATCGAAGTACAGGTAAACAAGTCAGAGAATGTCACCTGCTTCTTGGGTATTCTTGGGTGAAATAGAAGTCTTATAATATGTTGACGGTGCGACCGTTGGGGCGAGCGCATTGTTCACTTCATTTTAAGACCCGCCTCTTCGAACCGAACGAGACATTTGGAACGTCTTAGACTGTGACGTCAGATGACGTCGTACGTTAGCTGCATTTCCATAAACAAAGTTTAAAAAAAGTGCAAATATTTTAACAAAGAACGTTTAATCTACTATCTGCATGCAATAGCCATTAATTAAGGTGAGTTTATTTTTTGTGAAATTTTAGTTGTTGTCACCGCGTGAACGAAGTTAGCAGCGAGAACAAGAAGCGATGCATTGTGGGTCAGAATTACTGCGGAAAAAAATTCTATTGAATGAATGTGCAGTAGTCCGAATTTTCTCTTCGCCCAGGCGTTGTCGTTAGAGCTCGCAGTGACGAGCGGCGCTGCCGCTCGCTGCGCTCGCTAATATGTTGACGGTGCGACCGTTGGGGCGAGCGCAGTGTATGATCCGCCTCTTCAAACCGCACGAGACATTTGGAACGTCTAGACGTGACGTCACATGACGTCGTATGTTAGCTGCATTTCCATAAACAAAGTTTAAAAAGTGCAAATATTTTAACAAAGAACGTTTAATCTACTATCTGCATGCAATATCCATTAAATTAAGGTGAGTTTATTTTGTGTGAATTTTTAGTTGTTGTCACCGTGTGAACGTAGTTAGCAGCGAGAACAAGAAGCGATGCATTGTGGGTCAGAATTACTGCGGAAAAAAATTCTATTGAATGAATGTGCAGTAGTCCGAATTTTCTCTTCGCCCAGGCGTTGTCGTTAGAGCTCGCAGTGACGAGCGGCGCTTCGCGCCGCTCGCTGCGCTCGCTATTATACATTTGTATCTGATAAGAATAGTTTTGTTATCATCATTCCAACTAATTTATTAACAGATTTTTCTTGAATTCGAGGATAATGATGTTATTACCAGCTGATTAAGGAGGAGTAGTGTAAGTGTCAGATGGGTACGAACGTCATCTTGTGACAGCATCACCTTTGTTTGGGTAAATAATTTGTTCAGAATACGCTTCATTTATCAACAAAAATTTAGCTGTTGCATGTCAGTAGGTCTAGTTTTTTAAGTATTCAATGTTTGAAAGCACTTATCAGGTCCAGTACAATCTTTTGATTTAGCTATATATATATAGCTTTATTAAGCTGTTCAGAATAGCTTAATTTAGCTATTTTATCACACTTTTTCTTAAATGTATACTTTTCTCAGCATGCACAAAAAGTCGCACCTTGGTGCAGTGATGATACTCAACCTTGAACTCATCTGAAATTGATGCATTTAAAACTCACTCATTAAAATCTCCTTGCATGCATGTGATAATTTTTAGGCCCAAATACTGTACAGCAGTCCTCAAAATACAGGAATTTGGGTGAAAATACTGTACACTGTTCATCAAAAAACTAAACAAAAAACTGTAAAAAAAATATTGACCAAAAGTCAATGTAAGAGGTTCATTTTTTAAGCTCTTCTGAGCCAAAGGCCCAAAGAGCTAATGCTATGGCCATTTGTGCGGTGTGCGTAAACTTTTTAGAATATGGGCCATAACTCAAGAACCCTTTGGCCAATTATTGTCAAATTTGTCACAGGGTATCCTTGGGCCAAGGGCTTCCATTTATACTAAAACTAGGGTTGTGACCCTTAAACAAGGGGAGATAATTAGGAAAATAGAAACAAAAGAGACTTTGTACTCAAATTCTAAAAGTTTTTGGGCTACATATGCAATTGATACAGTTACTTCTTCAATGAATTTATAAAGGAGGCCAATTATGGTCAACAAGATAATTGATTAATTCTGTACATTCAATGAGAAGCAATCATACTTATCCATGCCTCAATGCACACAAGGTAGTGGACAGTTACTCAAATAATAGAAATTTATCTTTTGCTTAAAAGTAATCAAAAGTTGCAAAGTTGGAGCTATCTTTGATTTTGCTTGTTGTTTCGATAGCCCATAACACATATATGAATAGTCAAATACATGCAAAACTGCATATAAATAGCTAAATCAAGCTATTTTGAATAGCTTAATAAAGCTAAATAGCTATTTCAAGCTATATAGCTAAATTAAGAGATTGTACTAGACGTGCTTATTTCCCAATCCCAACGATAAAACTTTCTTTATATATTCTGCAAATTCTCTCTGCATTTATCATTGAACAAAATTCATATGACTGCAATTATATGACCATATTCTTCAGTTTAGAGAGCATGTTATAGAGGATATTTTGGTTAAAGTTTTGGTCTGTTTCATGCAGTGTTTGAAATATTCTTTCATCTTACACAATTGTATACATTAAGATTTATTTTATAGCTAAAGTACAAGAGAACTGCAGCATCTAAGACTACATGTACATTGACTTTGAATAATCTACCCAGTATATCCTCAAAAAGGCAACTCAAATACAGGTATGAAATTGATGTCACAAAATAAGTTTTTGGACTTACATTTACTCTTATAATTCATATACATATAAAGCATATAAAAATAGAAAAGAATTAAAGGTTCATCAGGTGACAGCTCAATCATGTATGGAATATTATTAGGCCAAATAAAAAAATATGTGTGGTTCCCATTACCTGACCGTCCCTATTTTAGATCCCCGACCCTAAACTTTTTTTCGGCAATATTCAAATTTATTTTCCAGAATTTTCCGCGATTTCCGTCATCCACTTCAGTATTAGTTTTAGTTCCAGCAATGGCGGCCTCCATGCAAAAATCGTTTCAACACATAGTGCAAGTGTTTGATGGTGTTAAATCTAAAGCAAGCTAGCATGGCGTGGCAGTAT